AGGAATTCATGTCGATAACATTTGACTGAGAGAAGATGGCGGAAGCAATCAGAGAAATAGCAAAGGGAGGATACTGGAGATGTACAGTTTGCGTTCTGTTTATCCAAGCACAAACTGATACAGCACCTGAGCCTTTCACAGGATTCAGCTCAGCCAGGAGGACCCAGTAACCACAGGCTAAAGTGGCGTACGGTGGGTGTTAGAAGGTTGTGAGAGAATCTAGAAATACCAACAAGAGGTGCTGTTGCCAGAGTCATATAGAAGGGGCGAGAGATTCTTAACAATAACCCAGAGCTCCTGCAGCTGCTGGCCCAGTCTCTCGCTTTCTGGAAACATGGTGCCAGCCCCTGGGGCTCAAAGGGACGGTTCCTGCTCGACAGGCTGTAGTGGCAGTGCTTGGCACGGTGGCAGGCTTGGCTCTTGGCAGCATTCTTTTCGCTGCAGCCCTTCTTGAAATACTGGATGGCAGGGTGTGACGGGAATGTCCCACCTTGCTAAACACAGGTGGCAGCAATCTTGAAAGCATTTGGGAGTGCTTTTGAGCTGCGCAAGCCTGCTCAGTTGACGTCCTCTGTGTCTGTGCTGGCATGGCCCAGTAACTCCTGCAGTTCTCTTCCTTGTCCTTCGTGCCATTGCTTTGATCTGCTGGAATCTTACCTGACAGTCTTGAAACATTTCCTTGAGTGTGGCGCACAAGCAGCTGGGCTCCTGCCGTTTGCGCGCCAACTGGGAACTGAATGGATTTATAGGTGTTCAATAATGCACGCAGGAGGGAGGGGGGGGGGCGTCTGTCTCTGCTTCGTTTGCTGAAGGGGTGGGGGGGGTTATGTTGTTATGGGCGCTCAGTCTCCCCCTTCAGCCTGTTGAAGAAGAGCCTGCCCAGCAGACAATTCAGTCATCTGAGAAGTGCAGCAGGCAGTCACGTCCTGACTCCTGGAGTCTGTCACAGATTTGTGCGTCGCAGAGCTCAGTGTGGTGGTGTTCTGCTGGGACACCTGTCTGTGCAGGCTTAGACGCCACATGGGGCAATGTTATTGGTTATACTTGTAGCTATAGTGGCCTCCATCCAATGCTGCACGCAGGGGGCATTTATAGTTTGGCTCCTGCATTCTTGTCACAGATTGGGACTGTGGGAGACCTGTCTGAGCAGGTTTGGATACTACGTGAAGGAGTAATATGCCGTTGTTACCTCGTTATTGCTTATACCTGTGGACGTGCTTGATTGCAGTATAGCTCGGCCTGTTACGTGTACACATGCCTATCTCAATATGGATATGCAGCTGGTATATAAATGCAGTTGTGCTAGTGTTTTCACACTGGTGTACTAATGCTTGTCCTTCTGGTCGAATGAAAACCTCCACCTGCCCTGCCGCTGGCGAATTCCAATCTGGAATCTGCACTAATTGCTAGGGTTTAAAAACCCATGAGCTGATGTGCATTACTACTCCGCAGATGGTGGGATTTGCAGCAGACCGGAGCCATTGAGGGAAACGAAACTGCCCTCGAGCTGGGCTCTGTGGCTGCAGGTCTCCCTCTCACAGGAACAGAGCCCAGACCATTTTCACAAAGTAACCACACGAACAACCATGCTTTTCTAGAAAATAGACATTTATTCCAGCAGCAATCAACTGTTAAATAAAAAAATATGTCAAAATAGAACAGTATTCATTTCAAAGACAACTTAATCAATTTCTTTACAAAGAGGATATTTACAAATCATACAGCAAATATGCATTCCGTGCATTTTCAGACACTGTATTTATGTAGTGTGATTGTCTGTGTGCAGAAGGGCACATAGTGCATATTTTATATCCCCTCCTCCTGTACAGAAATCAAAAGAAAATATGTAGTAAACATTGATTGATCCCTGTGACCCACGGGTAGAGGCAGTTTAACGCCATGGTCTAGTATCACCCCAGTGGTATTAATTCGTCCAGTTTAAATCCCCCAAGGTCACAAAGACCGCTTTTTGTCACTGCTTTTCAAATCTAAAAGTCAGAATCAGGTTTTCTATTGCAGAACAAAACTCTCTCTTTTCCTTTATGTATCACTCTCTCTTTTTCTCTCCTTCCCCTCTCTCTCTCCTTCTGACTCCGGTCTGTCATTCATTCAGCTAGAGGTCAGATCTTCTCTCCATTCTCAGATGAAATTGAATGTCCTTTCAGCAGTGTGATGCTGGTGTTGAGTGACTTC